GTAGACTAGAAATTGATCGGGGCACATGCGAAAATAGACTTTCACTTTCGCCTCCAAAATGGCAACCGTTTGCCATTTGATAAAACGGACCCTAAGCTGATTTTTTTTTATCGAATTAAAGTATCTCAGACGGGCCTCACGCAATGTTCCCCTTCCCTTCCCTTCCCTCCCCTCCCCTACCCCTACCCCTACAATTTGCCCCTGGGCAATTGTTTTAATTGGATTGTTTATCGCTGCAACTGGAGACGGACGGAGAGGCGTGTGCCCCGTTGCCATGCCAGCGGCCTATCTTTAATATTTGTTTTTGTTTTTGTTTTGTTGACCTCTAATAAACGCAACATTTGGCACATGCCCCGAATTTAGATTGACCCAGTTGCACGTATCCACAACAAGCCAATAACAGATGGCAAAACGCACCTTGGATTAACTCGAAGTTAGTTTGAAAAACTACAGAATATATTTGTTTGCAAAACTATCCCAAGGAACGCCGAACGAGTGTATTTTTAAAATAACAATAAATCGTGTTTTATTTTCGTATTTTAAAATGATTTCAATGTTTTTGTTTTTCTTTTTGTCTGCATAACTAATATAAATGTCTAGCTGGGAATTTGTTTTGTAGCCAGCAGACAAATTTCAAGAAAAGAAAATATTTTGAAAGAGACTTTTTTCGCCAAGGAAAAGTTGCGAAAAGCCAGGAACTTATATATATTGGAATTCTTTTCAAATAAATACTTATATGCAGCTCTTTCTTTCCATTTTGTAACATTGCCAAAATGAATATAGATCGGTTTCCTTAAAAAAAATGTTTTCTTGCGGGTTTCTCAATAATCATTTTTCAAATTTAACGAGCTATAATTACACGAGACAAGCCAACGGGACGACCCTGATATTAAAAAGCCAGCACAGAGCGAAATACTATGTCACTTTAAATAATATATCTTTAAATAATATATCTTCAAGATTTTGCCCGAAAATATGTACTTTTGTGACGGAAGCGCTCGTGTCGCATGTTCAACAATCCGTAAAATATACACGAGCTGGAAAATGGCAAATTATACAAAAAATCGTATATGCAAAAGGGCAAAAAAACGATCTTCCAATTGTTATTTTAACTGCGTTTTTGCCAATGCTTTCGATATTGATGCCAAATGCCGAGCTGAATACGAAATTGCGCGCACATTCAATTTCCTTGTCTACCAATAAAAGGCGAATACTCCCAAGTATTTAGTTAGATTCATGCATATACAACAATTTGACGTCAATCCGATTCGATTCGGTCAAAACAGATCGGCATTAGATGGGCTAAAAGCCATTTTTGTTTTTTTTTTCCAGCCATATGAAAATGTGCGTTCAAAATGAATAAGAAGTTGTGAAAAAGTCAAATACTTTGCGGTCAAACTTTGTATAAATCCAGCCAAGGTAAATGCTTCTTAATCTAAAAACGATTTCGTTTTTCATTGCATTTAAAAATATTTTACCAATATATAGTATATACAGTAATATATATAGTATAGTGTCTAAAACTGTGTAAAAACGTCTCATAATTATTTACTGGTAACAGAGAAGAGAACATATTTAAATATTATTATATATTTATTTTGCTTTAGATACATTTCTGCTGAAGTAGACTTGGGTAATTGCCAAAACGCAGCTGTTGGCGAACTTATGATGTCTTTTAGACATTTGCAAATTGCACTCAACGCAATTTCAACCCTCGAACGACAAGTTGACCAAGAGAAATGACTCAAGCAGCGACTGACAAATGCGTCAAAGGGCGGCTTTTGGCGGCCAGCAGTAAAGGGAAAAAGTCATAAAAACGGCAATGTTTAAATACATATACACATGCGTGTACGTAAATAAAGCGCAAAGAAATATTTAGCCGCTGACCCTTAAAAAGCAATATTTGACATTTGTGCTCAAAAGATACATTTTTACGAGTCCAAAGCAAAGGCGAATGCAAATTGTTTCGATGCTAGAATGCCCTCTAACGGCAACTGAAAAGTAAATTGACACGATGAGAATCGCATAGAAAGGCGCACTTGTATATTAAAATAAAAAATGCACTGATCAAGACATTTTGACATTTTGTAGAGTCGAATATGCTAACCTCTAACTGTTACATTCGCACAACTTTATAGGGTATCAGCTGAAAAGTAACCGAACATAACGAGAATCGCATAGAAGGGTGCATTTGCATATAAGTGCAGTTTTAAATTGAAATAAAGATGCACTGAAGAAGAATTTAAACATTTTGCAGAGTCGCATATGCTTGTCTCCAACTGTTACACAATTTTGCACAACTTTACAGGGTATGGGGCATACAAAGGGGAAATGATTTAGTCTAATTCTCAATTGAAATTAGGCATGTGACTTGGGCTGCAGACAATTTCAAAGCATTTTCTAATACACATCTCTGTGGGTCTTAATTGCCGACGTCTGTGCGTCCAATTTTAGCTCAATGGAAACTGTTCGAAAAACAAACAAGAAAAAAAACCAATGGGAAACAAATTCGGCTATATGTTGAAAAGAGAACTATTATATAGAAGTTTTTATATGTAGATACAGTTCTCGACTGATTCATGACGAACGCGTTGTAACAGATACAAAACTGCGGCGGATATGCTCAGAACTGTTTATAAACAATATTATGGCCGGAATTGGGTCGGGAGATATTGCTAGAGTCCCATTTAACTGCTATACTCACACTTTTAGCGCGTACTGTATGGCATTCAATTGTGCGGCGCTGCTGCTGCCAAAGTATCCGAAAGTAAGTTAGAAAATGCCGTCAAAACGTTGCTTGAATCGGTTTAGTTTGGTTTGTTGTGGCTGCTTTTCGTGTCTCCGTTCACGTTGTCACAGAAACCCACGCGCCGGGCTTAAGGCACGACATAGTCAGAGGCAACAAAACAAAACAAAACAAAAGATACTATTGATTCCTATGCGAAGTTATGCGGAGTCGTCTCTCTGGAATATGTTGTGACAGACTAGGGGGCTGAATTGTTGACAATCCAATTAGCGCTTCGTTGTTTAAAGAAGCCGCCAGATAAATTGTTAAATGCCTAACCGGGCGTATACGCGTTTCCGGTTATTTTGCATCTAACGCAAACACATCTCGAAACACTACACAAAATGCTTGAAAAACTTGAAACTGATCAAGAATTTGATCTGATAAATTGGTAGCAGCAGCAACAACGCGACCACGGCGGAAAATGTTACGGAAAATGTTACGGGAAAAACCGCGAAAGCGACGCGCACGGGCACACAACTAGCGGAATACTAAACGTACTAATTGGAAAAGCAACGGGCCCTCTTCTTGGCACACTCACGCTCACTCGGAAAATTAAAACTGAGCGGAGGTTAAGAGGAAAAGCACGGAAAATGCTCGGAGAGCAAAGGCAAAATGTAGTGCGAACGTTTTGTTTATAGAAATTCAAATAGAGACTAGACGAGCTGCGGGGGGAGGGGGGGAGCGAGCGAGGGGATTTGGTCTAACTAGCTGAGCGAAGGCAAATAAAAGTGAAAGGATGACTTCCGCTAATCGCATGATAAATGAATACGTGTGTCTGTGTGTGTATGTGTGTGTGTTTATGTGTGTATGTGTGTGTGTGTGTTTATGTGTGTGTGTGAGTGCAAGGGTATTTGCAGACGTTTTAATGCACGTGGCGCACTCACCTTGACAATGCAGCAGCAGCGGAAGCAGAGGGAGCGGCGGCGGCGGCGGCAGCGTCGTAAACAGGTTGCAGCGATGCTTGCAGAGTGTCCTTCGGCAGGCGTCAATATCCTTGCACCGCACGCAGCGCGTCCTTGACCGTATTAACCGTTAGATGCACGAAATTTTATTTAACACTACGTTTTGCGCGCACTTTAAACACTTTATAGAACTTTTTTGGCGCCAGTTGACGCCCGCGCCGTGTTCGCTAAAAAAAGCCGCTTGCCAGCCAGTAAAATAAAAGACATAAAACCACTTACCTGAATTTAAGGGGGGAGGGGCTAACTAGGCGGCGTTGCTTAACTATAAATCACTGAATTTTGCACTTTTTAACACAATTATTGCTGCAGTTGTTGGCGAATAAACGCGCCGCACGAACGAAACAGCTGAGGGCCAGCAATTTGCGCGGACGGGGAGGATTGGGTTGGATACCGTGCACCCTGTGGGATTGCAGCGGCGCCGGAGGAATAATCTGTTGCCAGGCGTTGACGTTAGTTAACACGTTTCGCGACAAAGCTAATTTTACGATACGCGATTTAAAAATATTGTATAAATAAACACGGCACAATTTATGCAGATAATTTCCAGCAAGTTAGCAGCAACACAATCAGTGCTGTGCAGGGTGCATTTTTGAGTGTTGAGTAATAAGCGAATTGCTCCACACTTAACAATTGCTCTTAATTGCGTTTATATTTAATACAAGTTAATTCTGCAGGTGGCGCCACAAACACTTGCAAACGCAACGAAAGTACGTATTACCGATTGATTGTGTTCTGTTTCGGTTAATAGTTTGTTTGAGTATTGAGCTTGCTTCGATTTTCGGCAGGGGTCGGCACAGACACATGCAAACTTAACGAAATCGCGAATTACTGATTGTGTTCTGTTTCGTTTTTTGGAATCTTGAGCTTCCTTCGATTTCCGGCAGGGGACGCCACAAAAACTAGCAAGCTTAACGAAATTGCGAATTACCGATTGAGTGTTCTGTTGCGGTTAATAGTTTGTTTGAGTATTGAGCTTCCTTCGATTTTCGGCAGGGGTCGCCAAAGACACATGCAAACTTAACCGAATTGCGGTTTTTTTTTGAGTCTTCAGCTTCCTTCGATTTCCGGCAGGGGACGCCACGAAAGCTAGCAAACTTAACGAACGATAAAACGGATTACCGATTGAGTGTTCTGTTTCGGTTTTTTTCAAAAGTATTGAGCTTCCTTCGATTTCCAGCAGGGGCCGCCACAAATACTTAACGAAACAGCATACTATAAATTTTGCTCACCCAACGAAAACTTTGAACCGATTTTACATTTTACGTTGTTTTAATTGTGATTCTATTCCTTGTTTTCCTTTATTGAGACGATGAGGCTATGGCACAAGGGACATGTCCGATGCCGTGTTATCTCCATGGGCGAGGCACAGTGATGGCAAGTGGAGCATATCCAAATATTGCTTGTGGGCTGTGTGATGGGCTTCCCAGACGCCACACAACCAGGGAAACGGGCTCCACACTCCATACATGATGGTACACTGAAACAAAAAAGAATGATTTAGTTAATCTGTTGCATATGCACAGCAGTAGACAGCACAGACTTGTCTGGCACTTGGGAAGCGCATCCGTAGCAGGCGACTTTGTCCACCATGTGATCCTTGGGCTCATTCTTTGTGAATATGCTTACGGCCAGCTCCTCGTACGCCTGCCGGGTCTTTTCGGGCAAGGTTTCAAGCGACTCCAGCTTCATGAATGCTCTCGAGCACGTGTCAAACGATCTGTCCGCACAACTGGCCAGGGCCATAAGATTGTAAATGTCCTCCACGGGCAGGACATCGTCGTAGTCGCGCAGGCGCAGCGAGGTTACGACAGCGCTGTGCATTATGCCAAAGCGCAGCTGGCGCTGGGCGAGCAGCATATAATGATAGCCCTCGGCGCAGTGCCAGATGCGCTCGACAAAAGCGGCATCCTCCAGGCTCATCGAGTCCAGCAGCCGGTTGCGATCGATGGCATAGTCCAATTGCGTGGCCGGCGTGGCCAGCGACCTGAGATGATCCTCGGCCAGCAGGGCGGCCAGTATGTATATCTTCTTGATTCTCAGCAACGGTGCACGCTTCTCCACCTCCTGCTCGGCCATCTTGCAGAGCAGACGTGCTGCATCCAAATGCTTGCCGGCCTTGCGCTGCAACTCAATTGCCTCCGAAAGACGTCCCTCGTTGAGAAGCTGTGCCGCGTGCTTGCCAAGGAGCACGTTTACTTCGGGCATTTGATACTTTTGGGCCAGCTCCACGGCCTGGCCCCATTGGCGCAGATTGACGCACGCATTGACAGCGGCCTTCTGGTCGCCAAACTTCAGGTAAGCCTGCACAGCTTCCGAGCACATGCCTGCAATCGGAAGTCAGTTAAGTCAATGCTTAGATTTAAATGGACGATGGATGGATTTACCGACGGAGACCAACATTTCGGCCAATTTGGTTAGCAGTGGACTCTTCTCCGGCAGCTTAGCCACACACTTTTCCAGCTCATCAAACTGTTCCAGATGATAGAGAGCCTCAATGGAGCCCTCCAGATAGTGTGACTTTTCATAATACTCCTTGGCGCTCGCCCACGACTTAAGATTGGCAAAGTGGTGACCTATTTCGCGCCATGCCGTTTCCATTTGCTGATCCGAGACGCCAGCGCCGCCCATGCGGTAAAGCTGGACCACACGAAACCAATCGCAAAGCGTGATGCGTAAATCAATGGCCAGATCCCTAAAAGATAACTTATGCAAAAATCAATCAGTTTGGATTTGTTGGAATTATGGTCACCTTCGGTCAGCATCCATGTAGAGCTTCTCGGCCTCATCGAACTCGCCGTAGAAGGCGGCAATCTCCGCCCGCTGCAAAATCTGTGAGCTAATATTTCGCAGCCGCTTAATCAGCTTGATGCCGGGATAATTGGCACAGCGCACAAAGGCGTTTTCGGCTGTGTCCAGCTGCAGTTGCTTCAGCGCCGACTCGGCCAGCAGGCGCCAGAGGCGCGGATGGGGATTGTCCTCTATGAACTGCTTGGCATCCTCGAGCCCCACATGCTCCAGCAGATCGTCCGTGTCGCGCAACGACTTGACGCGCAGCTGTAACAGATGCGAGGCGTTCTGCAGCTCACCAATGCTGATGATGTCGTCCAGCAGGACGCTGGTTATTTCCAGATCCTCGAAAGTGCATATGTAGCCGGAGCAGGAGATCGGCTCCTCGGGATCGTTGCCGCGAAATATATACATGCGCGTCTTCTCCATCAAAGCCAGCAACAAGGGATTGTCCTTGGCCCAGCTAACGGCCCAAACATCCTTGCGCTCCACCCGACTAAAGTTCAACTGCGTCTCTCGATTGTCGTCCAGCTCCAGCAACGTCATCACACCCATCTGATCGATAATGGCAGCGCGCCTGCAGGAGCAATCGATTAGTAAGTACCGAGGAGGAGCAATCACAACTTACGTGGAATTGCAGTTGATGGCCATCTTGTTGATCTTAGCGTGCAACGTGTGGCGGTTCCTCAGCGATACGTTGACCACGCTGTACTCATTTACGACGCCCGATTCCCGAGCGACCAGCAACAGCTTGTCGGACAGTGCGAGCGCACAAATTGGATCCTTGACGCTGCGTTGCGCGCCCTGCAGCAAATCCTTGGCCAATTCCACGCCCGTGGGCGTGTCATCAATGTGAAAGCGCCTCTCCTTGCACGCCTTAACGCCATGCAGATTCGAAGAGCTCTGAAGGAGAGAGAATTAAGGTCGTGGTAGTAGAAAATTGCATATGCTATAAAGTGAGATGCGAAAGGAGAAAAATCGGGAGATTCCAACAACGTGGTTGCTTGGGAAACACTTGGGAAACATTTGCCTGCAGCTGAGCCGCGTTTCGGACAACAATCATCTGTTAAAGTTTATAAATAAGTACAATATGTCTACAAATCCTGAGAGCGATAAGGAGCCAGAGCCATTCTTTGGGATCGGACCATGTCTTGTCAACCATAATATTAGTCTAGAGATCCAAAAGCAAGGCAGCTTTGGCATCGGTCTGAGCACAGAATTTCTTACAGAGCTTGCCAGACTTCGCAAGAATCTTTTGAATTTCAAGATTATGCAAGATGTGTGCAAATTCCGCCTAGAAGATAACGATACGCCAGAGTAAATTCTGGGAGACTGTCAGTTCGTCAGAAGAGGCTTGCTCAGGCAGAATTGAGGTCTCTTTTGCAAAAGGTAGGACTAGATAAAGAGCTATAACTCATAACAGAGTGAAAGCAGAATTAATAACAATTATATGACAATAATAATAATAAAATAAATACCTTTGGGGTATGATAATGCCAAATGAGTATCTCTTCGTAAGAGGCAATCGCCACATAGCCAGCGTTAATCCCTACGAAACGCGGTTTAATGTCCGTGTATTTGGCTGCAAGGCAAAACAATGTATATCAATTTGAAGGACTCTAAAAGCGACCAAACTTACAGTCCACGGTCGTCCCTATGGAGTTGCACAGCAGCAGCTGATAGACCCTGCCATCCGGCGCCGAGCTGCTGCCTCCCTCCAACGTGCTAAGCGCAATTTCCTTAATGTTGCTGCTGACACACTCGACGCCCAGAACGCAATGCTCGTTGCTGGCCGCCAGGCACAGCGTGGGCTCGACTTCCTTGAGGAAGCTCTGGTTCGAGATTGTGTTCCAAAAGGTGATCACATTCATGGCGCTGCTCCCACTGTTGTTGTTGCTGCTGCTTCGGCTGTTCAAAAACACGACCGTCTTCTCAAAGTAGCACCAAATGTATTCGGGCCGGATGTTCGCAAAATAGATAAACGAGTCCACGGCCATGGCGATTCGCAGAGATTTGCCTTCCCAGCTGAGCGAGGTGATGTCGCTGCCAGGCACCTTTAACGTGCGATGCAGCCTGCCCAGCGGCGAGTAAAAGCACACCTGATTGGTGTCGCGCAACGGACTAGCTGCCTCCAGAGATGTTCCACAAATGGCCAGCACGCTGCCATCATGGTTCCACTTTGCGTCCACATTACGCATGCCAGTGTCGAAGATTGCGGGCGCTAAGGAAGAAATATAACAACATATATTTATCTTCAATACAGATTTTGATTATTCGCTCACCATCGTCGTTTTCGTTGCGCATAATCTGCACCTTGCCGTTCTCATAGCAAATGGCCAGCACAGGTTGGCTCCGGCTGTTGGACAGATTGCCGCTGAACCAGCTGATGCTACCGATTCGCTGCACGCGACTCGTCGAGGTGCCAATTGTAATGCATTTAATGTTCAGTTTCAGCTGTGGATTAAACTGCTGCTAGACTAGCTCACATATTTATATAGATGTCTAAACCCACCGCAAAGTTGCCCTGGTTGTCGTATAGATGACACTCGCCGTTGGCCAGGGCAAAGAGGATCAGTCGATTGTCGGGGCTCCATTGAACTCCAGTTAGATGGGTGTTCTTGAGCTCCTTGCCGAAAATGCGATTGCCATCGACGGAGCCAACAATAATGGCCCCATCCTCATAAACAATGCAGATTTTGGTGCCATCCGAGGTCCAGCTCATGCCGGCCACCGTCGATTTCTTGCGATCGTTGGTCATTTCCTCGTACCAGGCGCCTTTGTACAGCATCCAGACCATTATAACGCCGTCCACATCCGAGGATGTTAGCTTATGCTGTGCATCGTTCCACGTGACCACTTTGACGGACTCCTTGTGGCCATCCAATGTCTGATTCATCGACAGATTCGACACGGCGGCCAATCCACCCTTGGTCTGGCCATTGTTGGCAGCTTCAATAAAATTGTTGTATTAAATAAATATTAATTAGTGCATGTTTTGTTAGTGTTACCTTGATCCAGTTTGAGCACCTTGAGGAGTCCCTCTGTCCCGGCAACGGCAATGTATCCCTCCTCCTTGTTCCACGCAATGCAATTAAGCTTCACATTGTTTGGAATCGCAATCTATATAAATAATTAAATATTATTAGCTTTAATTTTGTTAAGTAAAACCATGTACATTTACCTTTTTACTCAAATAGACAAACATTTCGGGATTTTCGTGTTATTTACGCTTTCCAATTTTTTCCGCTGCGGCAGCTTTTGTTGTGCACCTGTTTATAAACAGTTATGTTAAAAATGGTTGCCATGGAAACTTTTTGCAGGGAAATACTTTGCATTTACGAATTGGCATCTTTCTGCTGCGCATGCGCCGTGGACTTGATTGCTGTTTTGTTCATTTTATAAATGTTTTCTAACACACAATTAAAGAAACTAAATAACTTATGCTAACATTTCACTGCAGTTGTTTTTACAAGCAATTCTACGAAGCGAACGGAGCGAAAAGGAGAGCAGTTTAAATGAACTAGGTAATCGTTATGAACCGCATTGTGTTGGGCTAAAAAACGAGCTGGTTCATTTTTTCGATCTTAGCTGTTCTTTGTTTCAAACGGTTACAAGTTTGAAATAACAAAATTCTTTTTATAGGTAGACTCTAATTACAAAGAAAATATGCAAATTGTTAAATTATAAAAAATAAAATAAATTAAAAATCTTAGAATTAGTTTTAATAAAAATAAATAAATAGTAGTATAGTATACATTAATGTACAGAAACATGTCTTAAAAATCGTATAATTAAGAATAATAAAAAAAAAACTATGTAAATTAATAGTAGGAAAGTATAAATTATTGTATAGAAACATTTTGTTAAGGTCAATGTTCCGTATTTTTATAAACTCTGATTTATTTGTATATGGACTTTAGTCATGATAACTTTATCACCAAATAGATAATAAAAACAAACAAAAATTTGATTGGACCTGTCAACTTTTCGGTAAGTAATTCCTTATCACAGCAGAGCAAAATCTAGATAATCTAGTCTAGGCAATGCGAATACCCCGCTTATACAATAGATGAGCCACACTTGTCACCAGCAACATGTAAGCGAGCAGGATAAAAACCGAGGCGGAGTCAGAGCGATTCTCCGGCTGCAGAAAGATATTAACGCCACCCGTTAAAATATTGGCCAAAAGAAAGAACACAAGGCCATTCATGTTCAAGGAATTGCAGATTACAAGGAGTCCTCCTTTGTCCTTGCTATGAGCAGCTCCTGCAGCGATCAATGGGCTCTTCTCCAAACTCTCAATGTCGCCCAAAGTGTCAGCGTCATCATTGATGACCAGGTGGAAGATAAAAATGCTTATGCACAGCATTGAAGTTATCAAGAACATCATCCACGAAACGTAGCCCAAATTGCAGGTGACGCGAGCGATGCCCACGGCGTAGGCGCTGCCCGCCATGAGAAGCCAGCAGAGCACGGACATGATCAACAGACTGCGCAGTTTTCCAACAATTTCCCTATAGCTGAGCGAGATTTGGGCAACCAGCCATCGGCTGAGGCATATGGATAACAGGTAAATGGACACGAAGCCCGGCAGCGAGAAGAGACCTTCGCGATTGGCGCTCACAAAAGTGGAACGCGGCAAATCTTCGTTCATCACGTATTCAGATACTCCGCCAAAAGTTAGCGCTAGTTGATGACAAGCCAGAACACCTGCAGCATGGTAAATGCAATTAGTTAAGGTTTAGTTAAGGTAATTATAAAGAACTTACCGAGTCCCAGCGGCAACAGCTGCGTGTCGCTGCGGGGCAAGAAACTGCAGAGGCTGCCGAATAGTTTCGTCAGGCCGAGCGTGAAAAAGGCGTTCAGATGCCGCCCATACTCGTGCTCGTCCTGGCCATAGCCAACGATCAGGATGGCCACGACCCGTGCAATCCCGAGCAGAATAAGCGGCAGCGCTGAGCGCCAAATATTGCGCCGCAAATCGGAACAATTTCGCGGCCGCCGGGAGACCAGGCCCATTGTCACCACAAACAAACCGATGCCGGTGTCCATGAGCTGGGCACCAAAGAGTCGACTCTTCCGGTACGGGCGATAGAAGCTGGCAAAATCGATGGCGAGTATACAAACTGCCGTGATCAGGTGGGTCATGGACCGCATCAACGTAAGCACGAAAGGCCGGCTGCCCAGCTGGAACTGAGCCCGGCTCTTGGCGCGCGACAGCGGACACGCACGTAGAAGGTACAACAATAGGAGGACCATCATCAGTGCCACGAAATGGACACTAAAATCGCTGGCCACGGTCACAAAGAGAACAGTGGGCACCACAATCAATGCGAACTCCACAAGGTAGCATAGTATTTTCCGTTTGAGGCAACCGGATAAAACACGTGCCAGCACAATGCCCGAAAAGTTGGCTAAAATGACACAAAACGAGGCAAAGCTCTGTTCAAGCGACTCGAAAGAGCGCTTATCAATGTGCTGTTCGGGTATATCGTAGCTCGTCAATGCAATTCGTTCGCTGGCCATGATGATTGCCCGGACACTGTCGGGCCATTTTATATTGATAATTGATAAAAGCCTACTATGTGTACGCACCAAAATGTCCGACGATAAGCTGCACGTCAAATTGGAATTATAATCGCTGCTAGCTTCCAAATAGTGATAAAGTATGGCATGATAAACGTTTCAAGCATTTGGAATTCGATTCTTTTTGCCGCTCAAAACTGTTTCTAGCAACGGTGGCTGAACAGTTGTGCATATTGAACGCTAGCGCTCATGTGTAGTATTTGCGTAGCCCTGGCACTGTCAATGCCCAAACAGAATAAGAGGCTCGTCAGTCAACAGTCAACTTGAAGTGATTGGGAGATATCAGGAATATTTATTGGACCTTGGATTGCTGATGGCTGCCCATAAAAACCGCTGGTGGTTACCAAAGCGTTCCCGATTAATTGTGAATGCTAAGGAATAGCGCGCTTCTACATCAGCTTTAATTATTATTGGGGTGAGCACACGGTACTCGTGCACGTGTTATAAATATCGGTTGTGTAAATGAAAAAAGAAGTGCTTAATGTCATATCAGGAAGCACATTTTTATAGATATATAAATGTGGTAAGATGTTAGATAAATGGGTGTTAATTACACCATAAACATAAACATACAGTAAAGATAAACATTTGTTTAGTGTCGCGTCTGTTTACAGCTGTGACGTCATAAGTGCAAACAAAGCCGACCAATCGCCGAGCAGCTTTAAGGGGCTTGTCCACGGGCATTTGGTGTACACATACATATACACTCGTATGTATATGTGTCGCCTATTGATTTTGTTGAGCTTGTAGGCGGCTGAGCATCACGTGCTGCTCGCCTACCTACGTCGCATTGACAGCTACAGCTACAGCTGCTGCTGCTGCTGCTGCTGCTCCTGCTCCTTCTCTCTCCCTCTCTCTTCTGCCATTCTCTTTTGCACATAGATCAGTCAATGGCCAATCTTGCACAGTCACCAATACATTATTTTAGCTCAGTTTGTCGCCAACAGTGCGAGCGCTAACAACACGCGGAACTAAATAATTAATGTGTACATTAAATTTGTTTAAAGGCCGGCTATAATTGTTTTGTAAATCAAATTTACGTAATTATTTGCATTTTCTGCTGCGCACTTGCGTCCTTTCAAGGGTGTGTATTCGACGAGACGAAAAGTGCATATAACTATAATTATAGCTATAATTGTGATCGCGATTAGTTTAACTGATTAAAAAGCAACGGCGCCAGTTGAGAGACTGTTAACCTTTGACCTTAACCAGAGCAAACATAAGCTGCTGATAGGCGCATTACAACAACTTGTCGCCAACGTATTCTAATCGAACTGTGTGAGAAACTCTGTCAATCAGCTTATCAGTCAATCAGCATATGTATGTTCCTGTCAACAGATTGCTGTCGCAATCAACCGTTGCTAAAGATTATCAGACTATGTAATGACCCTTGTCGCTGGGTCAACAGACTCAATGCTTTGTTATTTTGTATACCCTTGCAGAGGGTATTATAATTCTGTCTCGAAATGTGTAACGCATAGAAGGAGACATCTCCGACCCTATAAAGTATATATATTCTTGATCAGTATCAACAGCCGAGTCGATATAGCCATGTGGCAACCGGCTGGATCGGACAACTATATCATATAGTTGCCATAGGAACGATTGGCCGATAATGAGCTTATTGTATGAAAAACTTTTTTGTTTATCACGATATCTTAACCAAACTCGGCATTTATTAGTTGTACCATGCTCCTCATATATATGCAAAATCCTATCAACATCGGACCACTATATCATATAGTTCCCATATGAACGATCGGTGGCAAATTAAGTTGTTGTATGAAAAACTTTTTTGTTTATCAACATACCTTAAGCAAACTCGGCATTTATTAACTTCACTATACTCCTTATATATATGCAAAATCCTATCAACATCGGACCACTATATCATATAGTTGCCATAGGAACGATCGGTGGAAAATTAAGTTGTTGTATGGATACTTTTTTGTTTATCAAGATATCTTGACCAAACTCGGCATTTATTAGTTTCACTATGCTCCTTATATATATGCAAAATCCTATTAACATCGGACCACTATATCATATTGCATTATGAAAAGGCAAGGGTGGTTACCTGCAGGTACCTGCATGTCTCATGTTCCAATTTGAGTATACCTGATGCCACGTAAAAAACAAAGTCTTTATTTACTTTGTTCTGCACCCGATTACCCCACAATGCAAATGTAAAAGTGATACAAAGGTTATATACTCATTACACATGAGCCAGTGCATGATCGACTACCGTATGACCTGTACAAGAATTATGTATTGACCGCTGGATGCACCCAGCTAATATACCCTCTGATAAGCATTTGTTTTAATGGGTTTTATGTCACAATCGTTGGCACACAACATTTTGGCGTATTTAGCATTTTAATATAATATCATTAATGAATTTGAATTCCGTTGCATAAAGCGACTTTTGTTTTCGGAAATTTCCATTTTATATTTTTGCTTGGTGTATTAATTTTGTTGACACTTAATTTGAATATTTGTGTTATTTTTAGAGCTCGGCGACCAACAAACTGAATGAACGCACAAACAGAAACATATTTACATAAATTGTCTTAAAATAAATTTAAATATTTACATTCGAATGTTTTTTGGTGCGCCAGCAAAATATTTATATGTGCACAGCAATTGCTAGCAATTAAATATGCCATTATAGAAGAAAATAAAGATAAAAGCAAGAAATTTTATGCATATTCTTGAAATTTTATTACAAAAAAATCTAAAAATATCACGATCCAACATGCTCAAGTTCTTCAGTCACGAGATACCCTGTACCCAGAGCTGATACATTCGTTTTTGGATCTAAAATGGCATATGCCCGCTTCTGCCTGTTATTAAACCATACTACCCCATTTTCAATGGGTGAACAGGGTATACAAATTATATCAACACACAAAATGAGTAGGAAATTTTATGAATTTCTTTGAAATTCATTTCAAAAGATATAAAAATATCACGATCCAACATGTTCAAGTTCTTCAGTCATGAGATACCCTGTACTCAAAGCTGATACATTTGTTTTTGGATCTACGTTCCACATTTCTCAGATAGACGGAAATAGTTAAAAATTATTGAACAAGAATACATATGATTATAAAATCATACTACCCTATTTCCAATAAACAGGGTATACAAAATATATGCTGTCATTTCAAAACTGTTGCACAGAGTATAATTAGCAAGAAATCCAAAGGTCTAAAGGGTATTCATGCTAAACAAGAATACATATGCCTGCTTCTGTTTATTATAAAACCATACTACCCCATTTCTAATGAGTACTACAGGGTATATGCCATTACAAAACTGTTGCACAGTCTATAATAAGCAAGAAATCCAAAGGTCTATTGGAGCTTATGGCAAAAGCTATGTCAGCTCTGATACATATTGTTTTACAATTTTTTATGGATCAAGTCGAACTGTTTATCGTTCGCGTTTGTATTTCGGAATATTTACGGTTCGTACTGTATAAATGTATGCGAATCCATTCAGCAGATGCAAAAATGTGTTCTCTTTAAATGTCAAGGCGACACGCCTTCTCCCATGCGGCGGGACAGCTCTTCCCCCTGCCCTCGTCTCCATCAGCTTATCAGCTGTTCCCGCTGTTTCTTCTGTATCGCATTTTGTGTCTGTGTGTGTGTGGGTAAGTGTGCTGTGCTGTGTTTGTGTAAGTGTTTCTGTGCCTGTGTGCCTGTGTATGTGTGTTCGTGTCAATAGTCGGTTGTATTTGTTTTCAATGCGTCGCTTGAAAGCTCTCGCTATACACATATATACATATACATATATACATATACATGTGTATAAATACAGTTGTGAGCGAACTGACGCGCCTTCGATTTGATGGCTAGCGGTTCGGTTCAGTTCAGTTCGGTTCGGGCAGCTGTCACTTGCTGCCTGACTTTCAGACACTTTTTGGCGCTCGCCTTGGACGGATGTCGTGCGGGTTTTATACTTAAAATTCAACGAGTGAAACACTCTCGCTCTCTCTCTCTTTCTCTCTCACTCTCACTCTCTCTTGAGTATTGGCACAAGTGTTAACATTGTTGCTGTTATCGCTGTTATCAATAAATACAATAAAACAACAAGGTAAACCCACGCATAAACCTTTATAATAGCCCATGTTTAATCGGTATGGCAATAATCTAATCGCTGATAAGTAATTCCGAGAAAAGATATTGATCTTCAGTTGGAATGAGATGTGGTCTATAAGACGGACAACTATTTGTGTATAAAAAACAAGTGCTGACAAAAAAAAAACTAACACGTCAATGCTAAACTATGGAAAATTGCACTATACACATTTAGAGAACTCTGATTATTGCTCAACTTTACGTGTGACTTTGACGCGAACTTGGACGCGAAACAGGAAAAACATTAAAAACGAATAGTATTTTTGTATAATTTTTTATAGGCTCGTGTAAATAATTGACATCACTCGATCATATTTGTAGCTTATCGGCGTACTCTCTAGACTGTGCACAAAAAGCTTTGAAAATGTTGCGATAACAATTGCTCGGGGAGGGCTCGACCATTCCATTAGGCCAACAAAGCTTTGGGGCTTGGCTCCAGCTCAAAGACAGTACAAAGTCAACAACAGCATGAACAAAAAATTAGCACAATTGTTTTCGGAAATTCCAAAGATTAAATACCCTCACGGACATATGACACATGTCTATTAAAGTAATACGATCATAAACATATCTTTAAACATTATAGATCGTATTATTAGGTCGATTTCGATTAACTTCATAATTATGATTTAAATCAATTTCTAAACTCTTCTAATTCAAAATTCAATTTCCTTAAGAAAATTGGGTAAAAAATGTTCTATTTCAATTTTTCGGCATATTTGGATCATGAGAAAATTAGATACATAAATTTTTATTTAGAGGAGAGAAAAATTAAGTATTCAAGAAAAGAGAAAGATATTGATTCAATTTCGAAGCTCGACTATTTCAATATTCCATTTTTAATAAGAAAATCGGTAAAGAAAATTTCCTATTTCAAATTTTATTCTTATTTGAATCAAGGGAAAATTAGATATATCAATTTTTAAGTAGAGAAGATTTTGATTCAATTTCTAAGCTCTATTCTATTAATATTCAATTTCAATAAGAAAATCGGATGGGAAAATCGGATAAGAAAGAAATTTTGAGGCATATTTGGATTAAGAGAAAATTAGATATATCAATTAATAAGTAGAGAAGCTCTACTAATTAAATATTCAATTTAAAAAAGCAAATCGGATAGGAAAATTTCCTATTCAGGGAAAAGTGTGTTTACAAAGCATTACACTTTTCGTAGATACCCTACCTATAGAGTATAGAGTAAAAGACAGCTGTAGTGGAAATCAATTAGCACAACGTTAAGATCATATCGCATAGAGAACGGAGAGTGGAAACCTTAGGAACTGCTGGTTGCTAGCCTCGGAAACCTTGTGGTGCCTCCTTATCGAGACTGATAGCGATATCGATACATATCATAAAAATTCTTTATGTAATCTCTCTTTAAACTCTTGTGTTTTGCAGCCCGCCATGACGGAAGGCAAGAACGTGCCCAATTCGAGTGCCGATGTGCCGTTCCGGAGCAAGGAGCTGCGCAAGCAATCCCTGATCCAGCACACGGGTTTGGTGGGCGTCATCGATGAGGGCACCAAGACGATTGGCTTCTCGATATACACGACGCCCGATTTCAAGGAAATCGCAGCACATCGCGTCGAACTGAGCGTGATAACGCCACAGGATGGCTGGTACGAGCAGGATCCGATGGAGATGATGGCATCGATCAACAAGTGCGCCGAGGAGGCAATCAAACAGCTGCCGGAGCTGGGCTTCAGTGCCAGCGACATTGCCACCGTGGGCATAACAAATCAGCGGGAGACGACAATCGTCTGGGATGCCGTGACGGGGAAACCCCTCTACAATGCCATCGTTTGGAAGGATATACGCACCAGCAGCACCGTGGAGCAGATTGTCGCCAAGGTGCAGGACGTGAATCACTTCAAGCGGAGCACGGGTCTGCCCATATCCACATACTTCTCGGCTTTGAAGATTCGCTGGCTGAAGGACAACGTGCCCGAGGTGCGGCAGGCGTGTCGCGAGAAGCGCTGCAAGGCCGGCACCGTCGACAGCTGGATCGTCTGGAATCTGACCAATGGTGAGCAATCTGAATCCTGCCTAGCAATGCTCATCGATTGACTGTGCTCCCCCGTTTCAGGTGCCCTGCACATCACGGACGTGACAAATGCGTCGCGCACTCTGCTGATGAATCTGGAGACGCTGCACTGGGATCCGGTGCTGTTGAAAACCTTTGCCATCCGCGAGGAGATGCTGCCCAGCATACGCAGCTGCTCGGAGATCTTTGGCAAGATCACCTCCGACCGGAGCGCATTGCGCGGATTAACGCTGAGTGGGATTCTGGGTAACCAGCAGGCCTCGCTGCTGGGACAGATGTGCGTGAAGCCGGGCCAGACAAAGAACACATATCGTTCTGGCTGCTTTCTGCTGTGCAATACGGGCGACAAGCCCGTCTTTTCGCGTCACGGACTGCTCACCACGATTGCCTACAAGCTGGGACCCCAAGCGCCCACGATCTACGCCCTGGAGGGTTCCGTCTCGGTCGCCGGACATGCGCTCTCCTGGCTGCAGCAGAAGGTGCGCTTGCTGCCGGACTCGCGGGACGCCGAGAAATACGCCGAGGCGGTGCCCACCTCGGGCGATGTCTACTTCGTGCCGGCCTTCACAGGACTCTATGCGCCGTACTGGCGGCAGAATGCCCGCGGCATCATTATCGGCCTGACGCAGTTTACGCGCAAAAATCACATTGTTCGCGCCGCTCTCGAGAGCATCTGCTTCCAGACGCGCGACATACTGGAGTGCATGCATCAGGAGTGCGGCTATGAGATCAATAAGCTGCACGCGGACGGCAAACTGATCACAAATAATCTGCTAATGCAGCTGCAGGCGGACACCGCCGGCCTGCCCCTCTTCCGCTCCCAGCTGATGGACTCGACGGCCTTCGGTGCGGCCATGTGCGCCGCCCAAGCCGACGGCGTCAATCTCTGCAAATTTGAGCCGGAGAAGCGTTACTACGAGAACGTGCACTACGATACATTTTTGCCCACAACAACCGAGCACGAACGAGCGGAACGCTACGGCAAATGGAAACGGGCCGTCGAACGGAGTTTGGGCTGGGTCATTAAACAGAATAAGACACGGACGCACACGGAGGAGAACTATCGGATGCTCTCCTCGCTGCCGGCGAGCATCTTTCTCATCAGCAGCTTTGCCATGCTGGTGCATTCCTTATCGGCGACAGTCAAGTCATAAATATTTATATATAATTATATGTGTATATATATGCATCCGCCTGTTGCATCGGTTTTTCGGTTGTGATAATTTTTTATTATTATTTAATGGCAGAACTGACGATCCATGTGTACATATAGCTAGCTGTTCTTTCAATTGGTTGCATTCGCTTTAAAGTGTGTAAATAGTTCCCTTCCCTTCCCCCTCTCTCTCCCTCTCTCTGCCTACTTGTTTTTGTGCTCGCAACTTAATCTTCTAGCTTAATACGAATATGTGTATAATTCATGTACTTATCTAATCATGTGTTCTGCTCAGCTCTGATAAATCGAAAACAATATTTATATATATTACTTATGTATATAGCCAGAGAGCGCAAATGACTTTTGTATATTAGTTAAGCACCCAAATAAACGATTATATGAAAACAGAAAACAGCTGTGCATGTGTTTGTGTGTGGGAGCGTGAACTTGTAGCTCAAATGGCGCTCTCTCTCTCTCTCTCCTTTGATTTGCGAGCTGCGCTCAAAGCAATCCTCGCCACAGACGCCGCTCAACTTCTCACGCATTCACTTCGTTCAGCTGTGCATGTGTTTGTGTGTGGGATCAATTTAAACATGCATATATAATCCTGAATTCAGTTGCATTTCGATGCGGAATAATACTAGATTCAGTTTATCATTTGTTTTTGTCGAGAAATTCAACTTTTTCTGCAGAAGACAGGAGAATGTCTGTCACATTTATTAATGTACTCAATTGTGGAACATTATCAATAGCGGAAATATCAATATCGTTTAAAAATAACTATCATAATCAAGCGATTTATGTGGGCGTGTGCCCCACCTTCTGTTGATTTCTGTGTACTGGCGCCATAACCAAATATATTTGGGTGTGTTTTTTGGCCAAAAAGAGTATTTTATAGATTAGAATTTAAAATAACTTAAAGTTGTTTAATTTCCTGAATAACTAGGTCACTTTGAGGAAGAATGTTCTAAAAGATACATGTATTATTTTTCCATTTTAAGAGATTCTTTAACACTAAGAACTAAACCTATTGCAACAATCCTTTTTAGTTAATTATGCCTGTAGTCTTAGCCTCTTAGTTCTCAATTTGTGGGACAGATATATATGTATATATATTCTTCCGTTTTAAGAGATCATTTAAGACTAAGAACTAAACCAATTCTAACAATCCTTTTTAGGCAGTTATGCCTGTAGTCTTAGTAGTTGCTCATTTAAATTGGTTCGTTCTACAGGTTGCCTTACATTTATACACAAAAAAAAAACCCACACCTATGCTCATATGCATAAGTGGCACTCATCAACAACAAGTTCTTCTTCGTTTGGCTCAGCTCAGGTAACAAAATCTAAACGTGCAACAACAACAACAACAAAAAAAAGGCCAAACAAAGAAATTGATTTTCACTGCGCTGCTCTGGACTACACCTTCAGAATTTTTACTGAATCAGTACAACAACAAATCAGCAACAACAATAACAAGAACCGGAATTCTTTTGAAGTTGAACGGTGCGCACCTTTTCCCGATTTTTCTCTCTTAGCTATAGCAGTGTGTGTGTGTGTGTGTGTTAGGAGTGTTGAGTTCCTCAAACGGCTCTCTCTCTTTCTCTCTTCAGAAGTGCGTGCTCCACTAAAATCAATCCACGCCACAGTCGCCGCTCAACTTCACACACTTTCCGTTGGTTGATCTGTTTGTGTGTGTTAGTGTGTCTCTCTCTCTTGTGATCTGCACGCCCCACTCAAATCAATCATCGAATGGTCGCTGCTCAACTTCACACTCATTCACTTCGTTCAGCTGTGCATGTGTTTGTGTGTAAGAGCGTGTACTTGTAGCTCAAACAGCGCGCTCTCTCTCTCTCTCTCTCTGCGAGTTGCACTCAAAGCAATCCTCAAACGATCGACAAGCCACAGTTGCCGCTCAACATCAGACGCGTTCGCCTCGTTGGTTGTTTTCGGTTTGCGGTTGTTGTTGTTGCGCTTTATTGTTAATGTTAATTCGCTTGTGTTGGCTTTTTATTTGGATTGGCTCAGATTGCCGCATTGGCAATAAAGTTTTGGTCAATTTATCGAGCATGAAATTGACAGCGTGAGACGGCAAAGTTCCTTCTCAGTCAGCATGTTTCGTCTTAAACTGTGTGTTTGTTTCCGAGTGTGGCATTAAAAAGCGTTTGAAGCCAAAAGGGTCAAACCGGTTTAGTCAGCGCCGCTCGAGCAATGGACGCCGCCTTCAGTCCGTCAGCTTCGGGCTCAGCATCGGCATCCCTGCAACGTGTTGCCTCGCAGTCGAGCCTCGTCCAGGCAGCCGCAGCGCCCCATCACTATCATTATATACAATATCCGGCGCATTATCTGCAGCAGCAGCAGCAGTCCAGCATTGGCCTGGCATCAGTGCAGCAATGTCAGTGCCCCTGCTCCTGTGGACGCGCAACTGGACCCCAGCAGCAGCAGCAGCAGCAGCAGCAGAATGCATCCATGGCCGTGGCCGTCCTGGTGCATCAGCAGACCTCGACGCAGTCGGCGCAGTCCCTCCTCAATCATTCCTACCAAGCCCTTCCCAACGAGGAGGAGCAGCAGCAGCAGCGGGCACAGCAGAATTTACCGTTCGACCGATGCGACTGCGATCTGGAGTGCAGCTGCGCCGCGAATAGCAGCTCCTTGTCCCAGCAGCAGCAACAGCAGCACAAGCGCAGCCTGATCGCGGACGCCATGCTCGGCGCCGATGAGATCACTGTCAGCGAGTCCGACAATAACAGCACCATGATCAAGAAGAAGAAGCCCCGCCGCGCCAGTGTGACCAACCCAACGGATCAGCTGCCCTCCAAAACGGACAGCTGCAATGATATCTACCACGACACGGAACTCGAGGCGGCTGCAACTGTTACAGCATCTGCCGCGGGCAGAGCTGGCGGCACCAAGGCACAGGGCCTCGATGATAATCGTCCACCTTTGCCGCCACGCCCACCGCCCAGGCCGCGCAGCAACGTGAACGGCTCCATAGGTGAGTCTGTTGCACCTGACAACAATATTCCAAAGTCTCTATATATATAAAAGTGTTTGTGCTGACTTTCTGATTGATTGATTGATTGACTGACTGTCTGTGTGACTGACTGACTGATTGATTGACTGATAGACTGATTGACGGACTGACTGACTATCTGTCTGAATGAATGACTGATTGAATGACTGACTGACTGATTGATTGACTGACAGACTGATTGACGGACTGACTGTCTGTCTGAATGAATGACTGACTGACTAAATAACTAATTTATTGACTGGCCGACTGATTGACTGACTGAAAGACTAACGGACTGATTGATTAATTGATTGATTGACTGACGGAAAGATTGATTGACTGACTGTCTGTGTGACTGACTGATTGATTGACTGACTGTCTGTGTGACTGACTGACTGATTGATTGACTGGCAGACTGATTGACGGACTGACTGTCTGTCTGAATGAATGACTGACTGACTAAATAACTAATTTATTGACTGGCCGACTGATTGACTGACTGAAAGACTAACGGACTGATTGATTGATTGACGGACAGATTGATTGACTGACTGATTGATTGACTGACATACAGATTGATTGACGGACTGACTGACTGCTAAATGAATGACTGGCTGACTAAATAACTAATTTACTGACTGATCGACTGATTGATTGAATGACTGACTGAAAGTCTAACGGACTGATTGATTAATTGATTGATTGACTGACGGACAGATTGATTGACTGACTGTCTGTGTGACTGACTGATTGATTGACTGACTGTCTGTGAGACTGACTGACTGATTGATTGACTGGCAGACTGATTGACGGACTGACTGTCTGTCTGAATGAATGACTGACTGACTAAATAACAAATTTATTGACTGACTGAAAGACTAACGGACTGATTGATTGATTGATGGACAGATTGATTGACTGACTGTCTGTGTGACTGACTGACATACAGATTGACTGACAGACTGATTGACGGACTGACTGACTGCTAAATGAATGACTGACTAACTAAATAACTAATTTACTGACTGATTGACTGACTGACTGAAAGACTAACGAACTGACCGACTGATTGATTGATTGACTGACGAGACTGATTGACTGACGAGACTGACTGACTGACTGACTAACCGACTGATTGATGATCACCACACATCCCAAATCGTAAAAGCTGTGAGCTGAAATTTTCACTGTAGTTAGCTTATGTGATGTAGGTGCACGTTAAGACGGGTTTTCGGTAAATTCCACCTGTATGTGTGGAAAAATCGCGAAAAACTTTTGTATGCAACTTTTTGTTTACTATCCGATCGGCCTTAATTTCACTTCCAACGATCTCTGTTCAAATTCACTTGAGGGGTGTTTAAATTTTTTCGAAAAATCCATTCCTCCTTGGTGGAAATGGAAGTCAACGATTTGATGGGCGACGTTTTGTATTATAAATTACTTCCAAAGATCTATACCAAAACTCATTTGGGACGTGTTTCACACATTTTTTGTCCGATTTGCTTCAAACTCATTTTCAAAGCTCTACAGAAGAACTTCATGAATAAGTGCTTCAGCGATTTGGGTAATTCCACCCGCAACAGTGGTAAATCGGCGGAAAACGGTTGTATTCAAAGTTGGCTTCAAGATCATTTTCAAAGGTCTTTATGAGAATTTATTTAATACGTTCTTGGGTGTCAAATGCGGGTCAAAGTTTTAATAAACGAGAGTTTATTCTTCAGCTTCAAGATTTTCACCGCAAGACTAACTTAACTGCGGAAATCGTTGATTCCAACACATTTTTTGAATATCTCGGCCAACTAGTGTTCGATTTGGGAATTTTATACCATTTTCGACGCGTAAGGATCCGTACTATCGATTGGCATCAAAAAATCTTTTTTGATGATTTTTATTGAATATCTCGGGCAAATGCTGTCCGATTTTGAAATGTTATACCTTTTTGAATTCGTAGGGATCCCAACTATCATTCAAACATTTTTAAAATCGATGGGTTAAAAAAAGTGGTTGACCAAAAACCGATTCGTTTGTAAAGTCAACCTTTTTTGCGGGCTTCGAGAAGAAAACTTCCTATTATTAAAATCACAGTTCCCCATTTACTCTGACTGTCATCTCGCATCGTAAGCGATTCACCTGACAGCATCCGCTCGGGTATTCCCTCTCATCCTCCTCATCCGTTAGTTTGACGCCTGCGCACTCTCTCTCTCTCTCTGGGGCTCCCTTGGAAGCAGCAGTTTTTGGTGGTTGGGAACTGTGTGTAATGTCAGCAAGGATTTGAAGTTGACATCGTTTCGCAACTGCAACGCACTCGCGATTGGGCGCAGCTTCCGCGTGTTCTCCCATTTACCCCATTTGCCATAATCCCAGTCCGCGACTTGTGTATAGATATTTTCCGAGAAGTGCAAAAAAAAAAAAAAACAAGATAAATGTATAAACAATCGAAGAAAGCAATATTCTGAGGCAAAACGAGATGCAACGGAAGCTCGCCCAGGAAATTGATCGTTAATTATCCACTTGGGGCTACCAAAGACAAGCTGGCAATATGCACGGCTATCCGGTGATGCAGTTCGTGCAGTACAGCATGCCTCCGCCGTGCTCCGCCTGGGTGCCCGCGCCGCCGCCCACATCCGCCGCCGTCGAGGCACATCATCGCGGCTCGCTGGGTTAGAATGGGATACACACTTCTATATATTCTTACAATGTCTTCAATGCATTCTTCGTCCACTTACAGCTCATCGTCATGGCGCTGGGATCAAGAAGTATGTGGTGTGGTGCCTCATCTGCGGTGGCTTTAGCTGCCTGCTGGGCGTGCTCTTTCTGGGCGTCTACTTTCTGCTCCATTCCTACACCATAACCGTGGGCAACTTTGAGACGGTGCCCACCTTTGTGCCCGCCACGCTGGTATGTATTCCCTATCATTCCCTATCATCATTTTATTCCATTCTCAATCTCCCCGTGTTCCCCTTCCAGCTAATCCTCACGGGCGTCTGCATCATGAGTCTGGCGCGTCGTCGCAATCGTTATAGCTATCTGGTGAGTTCCGACTCAAATTCCACTATCAACCATTCCTTGAACTTGTTCCGTTTCTCTTCAAGATCAAGCTGTCGGGCGCCTGTGGCCTTGTCTCCGCCTTAACCTGCGCCCTGGTGACCGTGACGACCACGGTACTCCACATGAGCCGGCTGCAGGCGTTGCGGGAATGCGAATACGCGCAGAAGACGCGCACCTGCACCTGCTACTCGGATCTGATTGAATCGCAGGTGGATCGTGTTGACAAAGGTAAAGGTGGGTCGAACTGGCGTCCAGTTGGCCAATCCACTTACTATTCCCACATCTCTTTCAGAAGGCGTGCGTCTGGTCTTCGACTCGCTCTCGGATTGCGGCGTCGTTCACGGCTCCCTTTACTCCTGCCTGCGCGCCATTTTCGGCCTGTCCGTGGCCGGCGTGCTCATCGCCGTCTTTAGCTGCATGCTGGTCTATCAGCTGCTCAGCCACGAACGCAAGAAGATGTACTGGGAGCAGCTGGAGCTGCGCTGCCGTTCGCTTTATGCCAGCCAGGCGCCACTGCCGCCACATGGTCTCGCACCGGGTCGTCTGCTCAACTGTCGTTGTTGTGAGCAGTGCCACGCCCATCGGCAGCTGACGCTGCCCCTGCAGCAGGCAACGGCCTATCCGTGGGATGAGGCGAGTGCCGCAGCAGCAGCAGCGGCTGCCGGAGCTGGTCCCGAGCAACGTTTCTGGGCGTCACAACCGCCGGGCAATTTTTACTCACCCAATCCGGGCGGCGAGGATCCGACAATCAGCGGCTGTCGCAATGGACGCGAACGCGCCAGCAGCGGCTGGAGCTGGCCGAGAATGCCCTGGCAGCGCACCACGCCGGACGCAACGCGTCGATTCCGGCAAGCTGCCGCCAGCCCGGACTCTCAGTACGGTTTCAGCTCGGCGACAGCTGTCGCCGTTGCCGATGGCAATCAGATGCTCATCGAGGAGCCAGTTGTGGTCGGTGGCAACTATAACGCGCTGTCGCCGCCCAATGCGCTACCGTACGGCGTTTGGGGTCCACCGCCGCCGTACAGCGATCCCAACAGTCCAGCACGACGTGGCTACTATCAATATCTGCAGGCGGGCACCTGCCTGCCGGGCAATCCTGCCGTGACGGCGCTGATGCCACAGCAGCAGCAGCAAGAGCAGCCGCAGCAGCAGCTGGTGCAACACACGTCGCGTGCTTGTGGTCAGTCCGCGACGCTGGAACGCATGGATGGCCTAAGCGGAGGCACTGCAGCGGTGGTTAACGCCGCCTACAAGACGACGACGATGGGCAACGGGGAATACGAGAATACGCACTCGGATAGCGACGGCTGCAATGGCTGGGAACGGGATCGCTGCTCCAACACGCTGCCCACACGCAAGCTGAAGAAGCGCATCGAGGCGGGCGCCAAGAGCATCGGTCCGCAGAACAACGCCAGCCAGCCGAGGCCAAATGTGCAGCAAATCTTCGCCAAGGAGCAGCAGCAGCAACAGCAGCCCCAAGCCGAGCCACAAGCAGCGGGCAGCGGGATGGAGAATAGCGGCTATCAGGATTCGAACGGGGCCATTGCGAAGGGTCAAGCGCAGCCGCTGGAGGGTGCCGAGTCGGAGGTGTACTTTGCGGACGTGAGCAGCTGCTGCAACATGTCCGTGAAGAACGACAACTACTACGACAATGCGCAGCGGCATCAGGTGCATCATCAGCATCAGCACAGCAACTGCAGCAGCAACCAGAGCACCAACAACAATGAGGATTATCTGGCGCAACGTTTTGGACGACGGGAGCACTCGATACGCAGTCGCCTGCCCATTCCGCAGACACCACGCCTGGAGGACGATTACGAGAGCTCCAATCTGAATATGCCGACGCTGAAGAGCGCCGCTTTGGATCAACAGCAACAGCAGCTGCAGAAGGACATCTCGCGGCAGAGCATGTGTTCCGTGGAATCGGAGGCCAAGACTGAGTTCACAGATTTGTCGCCATCGACGCCATGCGATGATGGGACATTGCCGCCGCCGCCCGCCAACTTTGCCAGCGATCCACCAGTTTTACAGGCAGCATCAGCAACAGCTGCCAACTTTGTGGCCTCGTTTCCATACTCGTCGGAGTCACAATGCCTGGAGGCGCATCGCCGCTCCACCAAGAACATACACGAGCTGCTGCTGACGACCGGAAATGGCGGCACAAGCAGCTCCGCCGCGGGCGTCGATGCCCAGGCCCATTACGAGATCATCAACGATCGTTACCAGCTGCAGCGCTCTGTCGCCGCCAAGTCCAAGTCGAAGAGCCGCTCCAGAGAGCACTTGGATATCTATGAAGGCGGGGCTTGTCCTGCGGAGCGCTCCTCCGACTGGTCCGATGGCAAACGTTTGTGAGACGAAATCGAACTCTTCGTCTAGGTTTCATCAACAACAACAACAACCAAACACACACACACACACACACACACGCTATCTCACAATCAGTTCTGGTATAGTCTTCCTTATGATTTGTGAACAGATCGTTGCATATGAAATCTTTGCCATCCAAAATGTACCAACAACGATTAGTGTTGCCAAATTAGCCATTTTCCAGAGGCAGTTGGCAACACTAATAACAACGAGTACTACTTAGTTTTGCTCTTTATATGAGCCTTACTCTCTCTCTCTCTCTCTCTTATTATCACGCTGCGGTCCATGTGGCCATAAACTTTGCTTTAACTATTTTATGCCATCTATTTTACGTAGCATAAACAAGTTCTTATATATAGAAATAATATTGTAGTATTGTATTGAATGTTGAAATTGTAGTGGTAATCTATGAAAATATTAAACCAATTATGTTACACTTACTTGCCTATTTATATAGCTGCAAACATACACACACACATGAACAAATATATGTAAATCCATATTCATAGACACTTATATCGTTAGTTAAACGTTAGATTGCAAGTTAAATTCATTAAAACCGAAAAGAAAAAAATCACCAGCATTTTACTAAATAACTGTTAAAGTTCAATTATATATCGAGTGGCTAGCGAGGGCTGGCAACGTAAACAAGCGCATTTATCGTACGTACAAGGCCGCGCTTCATAAGAAGAAAGTTAGCAATAGATTTGTTTATAATTAATAATGTTGCACTTTTATATCGCTGCAGACATACACACACACATGAACAAACATAAATCCATATTTATAGACACCTATATAGCTAGTTAAACGTTAGATTGCAAGTTAAATTCATTAAAACCGAAAACACATTTTCATTTCACGAGTATTTTACTAAATAACTGTTAAAGTTCAATTATATATCGAGTGGCTAGCGAAGCTGGCAACGTAAACTTATCGATACAGCGAGGGCTGGCAACGTAAACAAGCGTATTTATCGATACGTTCTGACGAGTATTGAGTACGCACAAGGGCGCGCTCCTTAAGAAAGTATGCAATAGATTTGTTTAAAATTAATAATATTGGACTTTTATATAGCTGCAAACAAACACACACATGAACAAATATAAATCCATACTTATAGACACCTATATAACCGAAAACAAACAATTTAATTTCACGAGCTAAATAAATAACTGTAAAAGTTCAATTATATATCGCGTGGCAAGCGAGGGCTGGCAACGTAAACAAGCGTATTTATCGATACGTTCTGACGAGTATTGAGTACGTACAAGGACGCGCTCCTTAAGAAAGTATGCAATAGATTTTTTTAAAATTAATAATGTTGGACTTTTATTAAGTGCGACTAAAACTGACAGCTTAACTGCAGTTGAAACAAAAATATAATAAAAACTACGGCACTTGTTGGACTTTTCAATGTTGCAAACTGTGTAACAGCGCGAAAACAAAGCTGATCGTTAGACTTAAGCTTACCAGGGTCGCCGCAGAGTTCTTACGATCCGCAATGCTGCCATGGGGTATTTCGTTCTCGGAGTCATCGGGAACGAGCACCTCGTCGGCGGCCAGCTCTTCTAGGGCCAGTGAGGTTGCCTCATTTATGGTTCGCAGCAGTGGATAATTCTGATTGAGCCGCCTTGGTGCAGTCTTAACAAGTCGGAAATCGGCATAGGTGTCCTCGTCCAGCTGACATTTGCCCAAGAAGTCGTCGGTGTCGACAGACCAAACCATAACGCCGGCCAGTCGCTTCTTCATGGCAAACTTCACCTTGTTAGCGATAGAACGTGAGCTATCAAAGGTGACGACGCTCACGTCTTGTGTGAAAACATTGCGCTCCGAGCGGGCTACGACTTGGCTGGTTGCGCCATCCCACTGCGTGGACCAGCCCGATGTTTTATTGCTCAATATACTGCAGATCTCGTTGTAGCCTAAGAACCCATCCTCACGGGTATATGGACCACGAAAGCCGATGCCATCACTGGCATCATCTACATTGCCCTGGGACACAGTCTTAAAGGTGCGCCCATAGAAGGGCAGACCCAACACCAGCTTGGCCGCTGGAGCACCCAGCTTCAGCAGATAATCGATGCTGTATTGCTAAAAGTATTCAATCAAATTAGATGCACGCTAATCAGCAGATATATATTTTTCAGACATACCACACTCAAAGGATCCAGAGCGGCAGCCGTCAGTGGAGCATTATAACCGACTTTCTGGTCCCAGCTGCCGTGATAATCGTAGCACATGATGTGTAGGAAATCCAGATAACGAGCGATTTGCCGCACATCGTACGCCTGATCGATCACATTCTTGGCGGCGCCAATTGCCGAGGTCAACAGCAGGCCATGGTTGTCAAACTCCTCCCGCAGTTCCTTGGTGAGGGCAACAAAGTTCTCACGATCCTGCGGTGTGCCACCGCGTTGCGTGGGATACTCCCAGTCCAAATCCAAGCCATCAAAGTTGTATTTGCGCACAAAGCTCGTCACCTGCTTGACGAAATGGCCGCGCTGCTGCGCATTGGCCACCAAAGTCGAGTAGTTCTTCGAGCCCTCATTCCAGCCGCCGATGGCCAGGCTGACCTTCAGATGCGGATGGCTGCGTTTCAAGCCCGTCAAGCGCTCATAGCCACCCTTGCCGTACTCCTCTTGCAGGTCCTGCCAGGGGTCTGCACAACATATGCACAACTTTATATTAATTTGCATATTATGCATATTTATTATTTCTCTTACCCAGCGATTTGATGGCTGACTGCGTGATGTCCAGGCCAGCGAAGGCGTAGACAGCATGTGTGCAGAGGTTGGGATCGAAATTCTCTATAGAATACGCGCCCTGTCCAGGTCGATACACCGCCCATGTGGATATGTAGCAAACGACAACTTTGTTGTGTGTGGGTCCTGGCATGGGGAAGTATGTAAATGTTAATCTGCTGCATCCCCTTTGCGGTCAACCACAAGCTCACTCACCTGTCTTGGCGGCAACTGAAGCCCAAAATGTGCCCGAAACAATTGCCAGCAAAAGCGACAGCAGCGCCCTCCCAGCACTTGGTCCTCCGCACTGCGCCATGAGCAAGTGCATCAACTGAGGCGCGACAAACAGAGAACAAATCAGAAATGAGTGGGCGACGCTTTATAGCTGTAAAGCATATTGTATCTGCCAGATACATTTAATTAAGCTCAAGCTGAGCACGCCTTTATTGGAAGACGCAGAAAAGTGAAAGGCGCCATAAACAAGAAGCGAGCGACGCCGTCGGCTTCTTATATGCACTGATCTCGGCTGTGAATCACCAAGACAAACTCTGGACCTTAACAATTTTAAATGCAAATGTAGTAAAAGGGGTTTCTTTGTTGTTATACTGCATAAAATGGCTTTCTGAGCAAGTATATATCAGAAATAGTGGGAAGTTTAACTAGTACCCGTATTTACTTTCCTTGTTTGCCTGTATTTTTGAAATAACGATAGCTGTTAAATTCGGATTTTTTCAGTTTTTATACTGCATGTAATGGTTTTCTGAGCAAGTATATCCAAAATAGTGGGAAATTTAACCAATTACAATATTTCCTTGTTTGCCTGTATTTTTAAAATAACGATAGCTGGGCACACGTTACTTCCTGTTCAGGCACCCTTTAGAAGAACATTTTCTTATGTGTTTTTTAGCACTTGTATGGGCCTTGCCTGGCCTGGCGAGCCAATTAAAAGAGGTATAAGTACGTGGGCTGCGAAACCTGATTCTCAACTTTCGCTCATATACCCTTTAAGGTCACGCAGGCAGATTCTTATGGCAGCCGGCACAATTGCATGTGAGCTCAAGGCATGATTCATTTCGAAGCCAACGGTTCAAATGCCGAGTTTTTGCTCCGCAGCCAGACAACAATTTGCTATCAGCCATATTGTTGGACAAAGAACAACAATTTGACTTCTGATAAGAATACATGTACATGGCATCAATATGCACTTGCAAAAGCTACGAAAAGGTTACAATTGAACATTTTGTTTTGTTTGCCTATTTTCTTTTGTTTTGACTGAAACCGAAATCGTCTTCGCTAACAAAAGGCAGCTGCGAATCATGCGAAAAGAAATCGAGAGGAAAAAACCAGATCGCGACTCCAAGAACGCTGGTGAACTAAAAAGTGATTCGCTCAAGTTGTTGGGCTACGCCTGCGCCCTGGGTTTGATTAGCCAGCCGTGCATTGTGTGTGCGTGTGTGTGTGGAAATTCAATTAGCGCTGCTGAAATCAGCGGAAAGGCAACTCCAACTTTAAAAAACACATTCATTCGACTACGCACTTAAAATTCGTTAGTGTGAATATCACGGACTGACGTGCACGGCATGTTCAAGCTAGCAGAAACATTTTCATATCTACACTTTAATATATATGCATATCTTAAGTGGTTGTATCAGTTTTTACGTACGATATTTTATTGCTGCAAGACGTGTTTTTGTACTTCAGAAAAATTAGAGATCCGCGAGCGAACAGAATTGGTACCGTTGTTCACGCGCTCTTGCCAATAACTAAACGTCGTCGATCTGAGACCACGGCCACACTGCGAATTCAACACACACACATAAGCCACTGAGGCTAAACAGCTTACCACCACCAGCTGTCAAGTCCACTTAAGAGTACAAGACAAACTGCGTGCGCTCTGCATAACGAAGACTTTGAAGAGCGCAGCTGAGCGGAAGCCAACCTTAAGGATTAAATTCAGTGTTGTTTATCACCCCACCAGCCAGAGCAAGCTGTCAAGTCAAGTCCATTTAAGAGTAAAAGACGAACGGCGTGCGCTCAGCATAACGAAGAGTTTGAAGAGTGCAGCTGAGCGGAAGCCAACCTTAAGAATTGTATTCAGTGTTGTCAACGGTCGCTTAAAAAAAGTTGGTTAGTGTAATGTTAATGTTCCTTTGTAACAGCAACAAAAATAATTTTTCTTTGTTGCATATTTTGATTGGCCAAACCGGTTTTAATGCCCGTAAAAATTAAGAAAAAAATATATATATATATATATAAATTCTCATTACCGTTAAACATTGAAATAGTTTTTAAAAAAAAGTTTACTATCGAAAAAATGTGTTGACAACACTAATTGTGTATCATATTAATGGCTTAACATAATTCAAATTGTATATCAAATGTAATCGCACTGTGTTTCAATAAGAATTAAAAAATTGATTTAAAAATCTTGTTGAAGGCAAATTAAATTTGAACTTAGTACACCGAAAGCAAACAAAACAAAACATTATACTTGGCCCGATAGACTTATCGATTTCGATTAATTGTTAGAGAAACTTCTTGTGCAGCCCTAAGTAATCGCAATCGTTGTCTCGGTCCATTTGCCATCACTGCTTTAAACATAAACAATCGTCAAAATTTCTGCTGCGTACACACAGGAAAAATCGTAACGGGGCTACCAGATTGCAGGTCGATAAAATTAATGCACGTTTACCGCTCACTTGTGAGCAATCTGCATTTTGTATAATGAACGTTGAAGCCGAGGAATGTGTACCAGATGCAGCAACAGCCTGCAAGCGCCTGAAGCGCACACACTCCAAAGACGAAACTTGCAGCGAAGAAGCAGCAGCAGTTGCAGTTGCAGCTGGATCTAAAGTGGACCTAATATTGGTTGGGTAAGTGGAAAAGCAAGCGCGTATATTTTCACTACATTGATTGATTTCTACGGCGTGCAGCAAGGAGGCAAACGTGACCCACAACAACAACAACAACAGGAACAAAAGCGAATTAGAATCGGGCACTGGCAATGTGGCGGCAGCTGCAAACGCTGACAAAGACTCCATGGTCGAGACATCGAGCGAAACGTTATCGGATCTAATCTTAGACACCGAATCTCGCTCACCACGCCTATTTCCCATTCGAGATAGTTTAGACTCGATTGATGAGCCGGCAACAACTATTAACCCGCCGGATGTAATTTCCGATTCTTCAAGCTCCAATCCGTTCCTGGAAATGTTGCCGGGCGAGCCAGGTTATGTCGCACGCAATAACTCGGCCGGAAATGATGGCAATACCGAAAACGGCGATGCAGTTGCCAGTTCGCGTACATTTAATCGAACACGCACGCATCGTGTGCGCTCTTATCGCTCCGCATTTTCGAATTTGGAGTCCAGCAGCAGCAGCAGTGCCAGCGGCAGCGTTCATCAATATAACAGTGATACCAATGATGCGGATGTGGATGAGGACGAAGCCGATGATGCCGCGGTGCCAGCAAATGCTGATGAGCAGGAGGATGAATCTCGTTCGCCGGCGGCTCAGTTGCTAGACGAAAGCAGCTCCGACTCGAGCGGCGCGTTCTGGAACCGTTTCTACACGTCTAGCAATGAGGAAAACGATTCCGTAAGTCTGCTTAATATGTATCTATTGTAGATGTGTATGAAGGGTTTTAGGTTTATGTGTATTTAGAGCAGGCAGAAGGCCGCATTTCCGAGCCCATAAAAGATTATTTTCTTGACCAGGACATCGAAGCTAAGTCTTTTCGTTTGCCCGTCTGTCGTCGATCTCGAAAACGACATTTCAATTTTAACCAAACGTTATCTGTTCCCATTCCATATAACCAGAATTTTTGGGCAATATTCAAAAATTATGAAAGCTGAATACATTAAAAGTAGGTTCTCTCCTGCTGCTGTAATGCTCTTCCGCCTGGAGCACTCTTCTTTCCCTTGAAAAACATTTAAAACTGAAAAAAAGAGGAACATTTTGTTTCAAATGTCAGAACTAATACGAGCACACGGGTAAATCCGGTACGGAGCAAAACATTTAGTAGTCTAGAGCTGTAAGAATAACTATATACGAATATATAAAAAATATATAACAATATGTTTTTTGCCGTAAGTTGAGCGCTTCTGTATATATAATGGCAATTGTTTTGTGACCACAATCCGTGCAGGACGACGATTACAATGAGGCGGAAGCAAATCCGGCCGATAAGGAGCAAATTGAGTTGGCCGTTAACAAAGTGCTGTGCAAATCGAAACCGTCGTACAACTGGAACTTTGCACAGGAGCTGATGCGGCGCGAGCATAATCTGTTCAATCGGATTGGATGGCGTGGCGGGCACACCACGGCCATGAGCTTCGGTCAGGGATATTACGGCTCGCGGCAGGTGGTCGAGCGTATGAAGCTGTTGAATGCTTTGAGCATGCATCGTTGCTGCGTTAATTGCTTGAGCTTCAATCGTAGCGGAGATCTGATTTGCTCCGGCTCCGACGATCTGAGCATCATTGTTTGGGACTGGGCGAACGGCAGGCCGAGGCATAGCTTCAAATCTGGCCATAGCTTGAACATATTCCAAACGAAATTCATCGACAGCGTCGGCTGCCTGGACGTTGTCTCCTCCAGCCGCGACGGTCAGGTGCGACGCGCCGTCATACCGCCATCCGGCAGCAGCAGCATCAAGCCCGTACGTCTCTACAGCCATAACGATGCTGTCCACAAGCTTGTCGTCGTGCCGCAGAGCAAGCATGAGGTGATCAGCGCCGGCGAGGATGCCGCGGTCAAGCACTTTGATTTGCGCACCAATGCCTGCACGACAATGCTCCGATGCGTCTCCAGCGACGACAACAGACGCGTTCGTCTCTTCAGCATTGCCCACCATCCATATGCGCCAGAGTTTTGCGTCAGCGGCTCCGATGACAAGCTGCGCGTCTACGACAAGCGCAAGCTGACCAGCCCCATACACGAAATGACGCCCAAGGATCTGAAAGACGTGAGTCTTGAAATACACACATTTTCCCCTAACTGTGACAATATTCCCCCCTTTTTTGTGCAGACGAAGATAACGCAGATCACGTGCGCGGTCTACAATCACAGCGGCAGCGAAATTCTCGCTTCCTACAGCGATGCGGGAATTTATCTATACGACAGCCGCAACTATAAGGATGGCGAATTTCTGCACTCCTATGAAGGACACATGTAAGATACGCAACAAAATCGACTATCTTCGGCACGCCGAAGGTTAGATACCCTTGTAGAATAATGTGCTCCTTTCTATAGCCTATACATACACACATACATGCATACATACATAAATACATGCATACTTACATACATAAATACATACATGCATACATACATGCATACATACATACATACATACATACATACATACATACATGCATACATGCATACATACATACATACATACATACATACATACATACACACTTACATACATGCATACATGCAAACTTACATACATGCATACATACAATACATTCATACTTACATACATGCATACATAAATACATGCATACTTACATACATGCATACATACATTCCCAGCCCCATAACTCGGTCAAATCTCATCAGATTTTCAGGAGGTTTGGTTTTTTGTACTTAGTTTTCCCTCTAGATTAATCTGGCAAACAAATCTGACTACGTTAATTTTAGTCGAAATTCATGCCAAAATCGTATCCCTAAGAGTCGTATATAGACATAGGTCGAAATTTCCCAGCCCCATAACTCGCTCAAATCTCATCAGATTTTCTCGAGGTTTGGTTTTTTGTACTTAGTTTTCCCTCTACAATAATCTGGCAAACAAATCTGACTACGTAAATTTTAGTCGAAATTCATGTCAAAATCTTACCTCTAGATTCGTATATAGACATAGGTCGAAATTTCCCACCCCCATAACATGGTCAAATCTCATCAGATTTTCACGAGGTTTGGGTTTTTGTACATAGTTTTCCCTCTAGAATTATCTGGCAAACAAATCTGACTACGTAAATTTTAGTCGAAATTCATGTCAATTTCTTACCTCTAGATTCGTATATAGACATAGGTCGATATTTCCCACCTCCATAACTCGGATAAATCACATCAGATTTCACGAGGTTTGGCTTTTTGTACATAGATTTCCCTCTAGATTAATCTGGCATTCAAATCTGAGTACGTAAAATTTAGCCGAATTTCATGTCAAAATCTTACCCCTAAGATTCGTATATAGCCATAGGTCGAAATTTCCCAGCCCCATAACTCGGTCAAAACTCAACTGATTTTCATGAGGCTTGGCTTTTTTTGCATAGTTTTCCCTCTAAATTTATCTGGTATTCAAATCTGAGTACGTAAATTTTAGCCGAATTTCATGTCAAAATCTTACCTCTAGATTCGTATATAGACATAGGTCGAAATTTTCCCACCCCCATAACTTGGTCAAAACTCATCCGATTTTCACCAGCTTTGGTTTTTTGTACATAGTTTTCCCTCTAGATTAATCTGGCATTCAAATCTGACTACGTAAATTTAAGTCGAAATTCATGTCACAATCTTACCCCTAGAGTCGTATATAGACATAGGTCGAAATTTCCCAACCCCATAACTCGGTCAAATCTCATCAGATTTTCACGAGGTTTGGATTTTTGTATACAGTTTTCCCTCTATATTAATCTGGCAAACAAATCTGACTACGTAAATTTAAGTCGAAATTCATGTCAAAATCTTACCCCTAGATTAGTATATGAACATAGGTCAAAATTTCCCACCTCCATAACTCGGATAAATCTCATCAGATTTTCACGAGGTTTGGATGTTTGTACATAGTTTTCCCTCTAGATTAATCTGGCATTCAAATCTGACTACGTAAATTTTAGTCCGAAATTCATGTCAATTTCTTACCTCTAGATTCGTATATAGACATAGGTAAAAATTTCCCACCCCCATAACTCGGTGAAATGTCATCAGATTTTCACGAGGTTTGGGGTTTTGTACATAGTTTTCCCTCTAGAATTATCTGGCAAACAAATCTGACTACGTAAATTTTAGTCGAAATTCATGTCAATTTCTTACCCCTAGATTCGTATATAGACATAGGTCGATATTTCCCACCTCCATAACTCGGATAAATCACATCAGATTTTCACGAGGTTTGGCTTTTTGTACATAGATTTCCCTCTAGATTAATCTGGCATTCAAATCTGAGTACGTAAATTTTAGCCGAATTTCATGTCAAAATCTTACCCCTAAGATTCGTATATAGCCATAGGTCGAAATTTCCCAGCCCCATAACTCGGTCAAAACTCAACCGATTTTCATGAGGCTTGGCTTTTTTTGCATAGTTTTCCCTCTAAATTTATCTGGTATTCAAATCTGAGTACGTAAATTTTAGCCGAATTTCATGTCAAAATCTTACCTCTAGATTCGTATATAGACATATGTAGGTCGAAATTTCCCACCCCCATAACTTGGTCAAAACTCATCCGATTTTCACCAGCTTTGGTTTTTTGTACATAGTTTTCCCTCTAGATTAATCTGGCATTCAAATCTGACTACATAAATTTAAGTCGAAATTCATGTCACAATCTTACCCCTAGATTCGTATATAGACATAGGTCGAAATTTCCCAACCCCATAACTCGGTCAAATCTCATCCGATTTTCACGAGGTTTGGTTTTTTGTACTTAGTTTTCCCTCTAGATTAATCTGGCATTCAAATCTGAATACCAAAATTTTAGTCGAAATTCATGCCAAAATCTTACCCCTAGATTCGTGTATGAACATAGGTCGAAATTTCCCAGCCCCATAACTCGCTCAAATCTCATCAGATTTTCACGAGGTTTGGATGTTTGTACATAGTTTTCCCTCTAGATTAATCTGGCATTCAAATCTGACTACGTAAATTTTAGTCGAAATTCATGTCAATTTCTTACCTCTAGATTCGTAAATAGGCATAGGTCGAAATTTCCCACCTCCATAACTCGGATAAATCTCATCAGATTTTCACGAGGTTTGGATGTTTGTACATAGTTTTCCCTCTAGATTAATCTGGCATTCAAATCTGACTACGTAAATTTTAGTCGAAATTCATGTCAATTTCTTACCTCTAGATTCGTATATAGACATAGGTAAAAATTTCCCACCCCCATAACTCGGTGAAATGTCATCAGATTTTCACGAGGTTTGGGGTTTTGTACATAGTTTTCCCTCTAGAATTATCTGGCAAACAAATCTGACTACGTAAATTTTAGTCGAAATTCATGTCAATTTCTTACCCCTAGATTCGTATATAGACATAGGTCGATATTTCCCACCTCCATAACTCGGATAAATCACATCAGATTTTCACGAGGTTTGGCTTTTTGTACATAGATTTCCCTCTAGATTAATCTGGCATTCAAATCTGAGTACGTAAATTTTAGCCGAATTTCATGTCAAAATCTTACCCCTAAGATTCGTATATAGCCATAGGTCGAAATTTCCCAGCCCCATAACTCGGTCAAAACTCAACCGATTTTCATGAGGCTTGGCTTTTTTTGCATAGTTTTCCCTCTAAATTTATCTGGTATTCAAATCTGAGTACGTAAATTTTAGCCGAATTTCATGTCAAAATCTTACCTCTAGATTCGTATATAGACATATGTAGGTCGAAATTTCCCACCCCCATAACTTGGTCAAAACTCATCCGATTTTCACCAGCTTTGGTTTTTTGTACATAGTTTTCCCTCTAGATTAATCTGGCATTCCGCTCAAATCTCTCAGATTTTCTCGAGGTTTGGTTTTTTGCTAGTTTTCCCTCTAAATATCTGGCACAAATCTGATACGTAAATTTTAGCGAATTTATGTCACAATCTTACCCCTAGATTCGTATATAGACATAGGTCGAAATTTCCCAACCCCATAACTCGGTCAAATCTCATCAGATTTTCACGAGGTTTGGTTTTTTGTACTTAGTTTTCCCTCTAGATTAATCTGGCATTCAAATCTGACTACGTAAATTTTAGTCGAAATTCATGTCAAAATCTTACCCCTAGATTCGTATATAGACATAGGTCGAAATTTCCCACCCCCATAACTCGGTCAAATCTCATCAGATTTTCACGAGGTTTGGATGTTTGTACATAGTTTTCCCTCTAGATTAATCTGGCATTCAAATCTGACTACGTAAATTTGTCGACGTCCCCCGAAGATTGCATGGTCAAATTCCCACCCCCTCGTCATCAGATTTTCCGAGGTTTGGTTTTTGTACAGTTTTCCCTCTAATAATCTGGCAAACAAATCTGACTACGTAAATTTAGTCGAAATTATGTCAAATCTTACCCTAGATTCGTAATGCATAGGTCAAATTTCCCACCTCCATAACTCGGATAAATCTCATCAGATTTTCACGAGGTTTGGCTATTTGTACTAGTTTTCCCTCTAGATTAATCTGGCATTCAAATCTGACTACGTAAATTTTAGTCGAAATTCATGTCAAAATCTTACCCCTAGATTCGTATATAGACATAGGTCGAAATTTCCCACCCCCATAACTTGGTCAAATCTCATCAGATTTTCACGAGGTTTGGATGTTTGTACATAGTTTTCCCTCTAGATTAATCTGGCATTCAAATCTGACTACGTAAATTTTAGTCGAAATTCATGTCAATTTCTTACCCCTAGATTCGTATATAGACATAGGTCGAAATCCCACCCATCCGGTCAAATCTCCGTTTTCACGAGGTTTGGATTTTTGTACACAGTTTTCCCTCTATATTAATCTGGCAAACAAATCTGACTACGTAAATTTAAGTCGAAATTCATGTCAAAATCTTACCCCTAGATTAGTATATGACATAGGTCAAAATTTCCCACCTCCATAACTCGGTAAATCTCATCAGATTTTCACGAGGTTTGGATGTTTGTACATAGTTTTCCCTCTAGATTAATCTGGCATTCAAATCTGACTACGTAAATTTTAGTCGAAATTCATGTCAATTTCTTACCCCTAGATTCGTATATAGACATAGGTCGATATTTCCCACCTCCATAACTCGGATAAATCACATCAGATTTTCACGAGGTTTGGCTTTTTGTACATAGATTTCCCTCTAGATTAATCTGGCATTCAAATCTGAGTACGTAAATTTTAGCCGAATTTCATGTCAAAATCTTACCCCTAAGATTCGTATATAGCCATAGGTCGAAATTTCCCAGCCCCATAACTCGGTCAAAACTCAACCGATTTTCATGAGGCTTGGCTTTTTTTGCATAGTTTTCCCTCTAAATTTATCTGGTATTCAAATCTGAGTACGTAAATTTTAGCCGAATTTCATGTCAAAATCTTACCTCTAGATTCGTATATAGACATAGGTCGAAATTTCCCACCCCCATAACTCGCTCAAATCTCATCAGATTTTCTCGAGGTTTGGTTTTTTGTACTTAGTTTTCCCTCTACAATAATCTAGCAAACAAATCTGACTACGTAAATTTTAGTCGAAATTTATGTCACAATCTTACCCCTAGATTCGTAAATAGGCATAGGTCGAAATTTCCCACCTCCATAACTCGGATAAATCTCATCAGATTTTCACGAGGTTTGGCTATTTGTACATAGTTTTCCCTCTAGATTGATCTGGCATTCAAATCTGACTACGTAAATTTTAGTCGAAATTCATGTCAAAATCTTACCTCTAGATTCGTATATAGACATAGGTCGAAATTTCCCACCCCCATAACATGGTCAAATCTCATTAGATTTTCACGAGGTTTGGATTTTTGTACACAGTTTTCCCTCTATATTAATCTGGCAAACAAATCTGACTATGTAAATTTAAGTCGAAATTCATGTCAAAATCTTAACCCTAGATTAGTATATGAACATAGGTCAAAATTTCCCACCTCCATAACTCGGATAAATCTCATCAGATTTTCACGAGGTTTGGATGTTTGTACATAGTTTTCCCTCTAGATTAATCTGGCATTCAAATCTGACTACGTAAATTTTAGTCGAAATTCATGTCAATTTCTTACCTCTAGATTCGTATATAGACATAGGTAAAAATTTCCCACCCCCATAACTCGGTGAAATGTCATCAGATTTTCACGAGGTTTGGGTTTTTGTACATAGTTTTCCCTCTAGAATTATCTGGCAAACAAATCTGACTACGTAAATTTTAGTCGAAATTCATGTCAATTTCTTACCTCTAGATTCGTATATAGACATAGGTCGATATTTCCCACCTCCATAACTCGGATAAATCACATCAGATTTTCACGAGGTTTGGCTTGTTGTACATAGATTTCCCTCTAGATTAATCTGGCATTCAAATCTGAGTACGTAAATTTTAGCCGAATTTCATGTCAAAATCTTACCCCTAAGATTCGTATATAGCCATAGGTCGAAATTTCCCAGCCCCATAACTCGGTCAAAACTCAACCGATTTCCATGAGGCTTGGCTTTTTTTGCATAGTTTTCCCTCTAAATTTATCTGGTATTTAAATCTGAGTACGTAAATTTTAGCCGAATTTCATGTCAAAATCTTACATCTAGATTCGTATATAGACATAGGTCGAAATTTCCCACCCCCATAACTTGGTCAAAACTCATCCGATTTTCACCAGCTTTGGTTTTTTGTACATAGTTTTCCCTCTAGATTAATCTGGCATTCAAATCTGACTACGTAAATTTAAGTCGAAATTCATGTCACAATCTTACCCCTAGATTCGTATATAGACATAGGTCGAAATTTCCCACCTCCATAACTCGGTCAAAACTCAACCGATTTTCATGAGGCTTGGCTTTTTTGCATAGTTTTCCCTCTAAATTTATCTGGCATTCAAATCTGAGTACGTAAATTTTAGCCGAATTTAATGTCAAAATCGTATCCCTAGATTCGTATATAGACATAGGTCAACATTTCCCACCCCCATAACATGGTCAAATCTCATCAGATTTTCGAGAGGTTTGGTATTTTGTTGGATTGGCAATTTGGCAATCTTAATTTTTTAAATTAAAAACTTCGACTTACCGAGCTCTGAGCCAGAATTAAGGTTCCCGAATATGAGACCCCAGGTTTACGAACAAAGGGTATATGCGTTTGGAGGTGTCTCCAATAATTTGCATATTTTGTGTCAATCCAAATACCCGCTGCAAGGGTATACAAATATTGATATGTGTAGACGCCAATTTAATCCTTTCGTATTCGATTTACAGCAATAGCCGCACCATAAAAGGGGTCAACTTCTTTGGACCGCACTCGGAGTATATAATCAGTGGCAGCGACTGTGGCAACATCTTCTTTTGGGACAAGAACACCGAGGCGGTGATTAACTTTGTGAAGGGCGATCATGCCGGCGTGGTCAACTGCCTGGAGCAGCATCCATCGATGCCAGTGCTGGCCACATCTGGTCTGGATCACAACGTTAAGATTTGGACGCCCAGCGGTCTGAGCGAAGCTGTAAGTCGGCTTTCGCTTTCGCATATACAAACAGTTGAAACTAATTTTTCTAATTTTAGGAGGTGCCTCGCACGGATGCGCTGAAGGAAACGCTGCAGCGGAACTTTAGACGCAGTCTTTTGGACGTGGGCGACTTTGACATCAATCAGATACACTATTTCATACGTCAGCTTATTGAGCCACGTCGCAGTGCAGCTGGTGCAGCAGCTGGTGGTGGCGAACAGGGTCCGCGGGAGCGCAATCGTAATCTTTTCAGGAGCAGCAGCAGTAGCAGCAGCAGCAGCATCAGCTCCAGTCCCGCTCCAGCCGCCAACAACCAGGCGGCGCGTACCCGAGACAGCAATCCGAGTAGCTCCGATGAGGGCAATGCCGATCCGCTTGGCTGCCGCTCGCAATGAGAAGGAAGAACTGCATCATCCGCCAATCTATCATTGTCATTAATCCAAAGTCGTCTACATTACGTATTCTCGTTTGGTTTCCTGGTCTTTAAAAGTCCCGGAAAGCATGCATTATTATTTGTTTTCTCTTTTTTTTATATATTTTGTGTGTTGCGAGCACCTGAAAGTTTGCGAGCTCTACGTCTTTTATTTGAAAGCGTTTTCAAATGCTGTGAATATATACAAATAAGCGCGCCCATATTCTAATTTTGAACAATTTCTAATAAATACACACACGCATCGAAGAACAGAATGTGTTTCGTGTCGTCTCTTGTCAGACTGTGTTTAATCGTTGGTTTGGCAAATGAGCGCAACGCTGCGCTTCACCCAGTGGGAGGCCTTCATCTGCGTATTCAAAAGCAGCGGCACCACATAATTCGTCGAGTGTCCGGTCGTCGAGAGCGTGCCCTTGCGCTCGCCCGTCTTGTATAGCGGGCAGCGATAGCGCGTGCCCTCCGTGACTTCCAGTAGGGTTATGGGCCGGAAGTAGATGACGGGCATCACATACATCAGCACCTTGGGCAGCTGTTCGACCAGCATGTTGTGTTCCCAGTCCCAGCGTGCGCCCTCCAGGAAGAGTCCGTTGCAATAGACACCGTCATCGGGCGCCGCGGTCTTTGTCTCCACTTTGAGCACATCGTAGTCGAAGGTTAGCGTATCGATGGGTATTTTATATTTGCGTGCGTAATTCTGCATGGCGCCGGTGAGGAAGGCCTGCGTGAAGAAGAAGCCCGATAGCCAGAAGGTGGGCGGCTTGCCGACACGATGCCATTGATGCAGCCAATTGAGACGCTTATACAAATCCTGAACATAGGCGCCTAGTGGCTTGAGACAGGGATAGGACTTGCCCATCCATTTGAGCGGTATACGATTGAATTTCATTGCGGTCATCACATTTTCCAAATCGGGCGTCATCACAATGATGCCCTTAATGGCCATGGCCAGGTCGCGGCACGAGCCGCGTATCTCTTTTTGCAGCTTGAGGAAGCGTTCCATTTCCTGTACGACAACCGTGTTCATTGATTCATTGTAATCAACGGGATATTTTTCGGCAGCCGCCTCGATGTCCATGTCGGGCGGCATTTCGGTCTCAATCTGTTTAATCGTATTGAGCACCATTTGCTCGGGACTCAGGCCGCCGCTCGCCTGGCCGGCCGCCTCGCTGCCCAGCAGCAAAATCATCGATTCCAGCAGCGTTTTGGTCGTCTGCAAGTCTCGCGTTATGCCCGAATTGGCGTGCAAGCCATATACCTCCGGTGGCGCCAGCGACGGCATACTCTCGTCCAGATAGCGCAGAATCTCCCGATGCTCCGTCTTGCGCGGCAATATATAACGATCATCGGCTGCGAAGCGGAAACGATTGTCGGACACAGCTTGCGGATTGCAAAAGTCAGCGAGAATTGTGACAATCGCGCGCCTGTCCCAATTATCCGTGACACGTCCGCCGTAGTTGCACTCGCTGGTCAAATACGAGATGGCGTCATACGGCACGTGCTCGTACTGGTTGAGCAGCATCTGCAAGGGATGGGATCATATATATCAACATGGTTAATTTAAATACAACTAGAGCTGGTTTACGTTTAGCTGCAGCACTGAGATTTGCAGATCGGATTCGTTGAATCCGTAGGCAATGTTCCAGCCCAAGGGGCCGTATTTGCGTCGCTCCTGTACGACGGCATGGAAGAAACAGATGCCGAACAGCAGACGGGTAAAAGCGCGATCCTGCTTGGCGCAGCCCATATAGAACTCGGGATCATTAATTGGCTCCGAGTTGTAGGAGCGCATCAGATTCTCTCGCAGACCTGTCGGCGGTTCGTTTGTCATCTTGACGCCGTTCTGCAGGATCGTCACGGGAAACTGCGGCGTCGGATACGCCGTAAGCCAAATGCGGAAGTTCGCTGGAAAGGAAGTCAAAAGGAAAGTTTTATAAACTAATTGGAATATATGGAATAATTTTCACTCACCCTGCGTGTTAAAGGTGTCCATGTTCTCCCACAGATACTCCAAGGTGGACATCCAGGATGCGGCCAGATGGCAATTTTGCAGGCACACCCAGTAGCCCATTTCCTGGGCATTCTTGATCAGAGCGGTCGCAATTGGGCCCTGACCCTGACCAAGCGAGATGCTCTGGAACGACTCCTCCTGGCCCATTTTTTCGGCAAATGCCAGCAGAGAGCCCAACGGATCAGCGCCCGGCGACAGGATGAACACGAGCGGAGTCAGCGCTGTGGAGTCCGCATACGACTTGGATATATCGAATTCCGGCGGCGAGACGTACTGATCCCCAATTGTGTTCGCTATAAAGTTGCGTACGCCTAGGAAAACCGAGTCCGGACGCAGCGCCTTCAGCACTATGATCTTCTCAAAGGCCGTCGTCTTGTCGTTCCAGGGTGGCGGCAGGGGCTGCAGCTCTGGCGAGCCGTGATCATAGATTGCTTGCCAGGCGCGCAAATTACCGCGGAGCGAGTTAACAATTCCGTTCAGCTCCTTGAGCTCCTCGAGGCGTAGGAAATTCAGCCAGACGATGTCGGTTATCCAGCTGGGATCGGGATTGGGCGGTATATTGGTGGACTCCTTGGCATTGGTCAGCAGATGCGACAGATGACGCATCTCAACCTGACCCGTGCCCAGCATAATCCGTGCGGTCAGTATGAAGGAGAAGAGCAGCTTGTCCTTCTCGAAAATGGAGCGGCAAACGTTGTTGTACAGATTTCGGGTGAAGCCATCGACCAGGAACTTGATGCGACGCGGCAAATCCTTCGACTTGTTGGCCGTTTCAATGGAGTACATATACAGATTGATGTACCAGTTGAGGGAGAACTGATACATGGGATCGATATTGGGCAGATCGGTTATGGAATAATATAGGATGGAGGAATGGACTGCGACGGGTTTATAGTTGAGGCGGAATGCCTCGATTTTGGCGGACGTTTCCTTGGCTGCCTCCTGCTTCTCCGTAATGTCCTTGGAGAGCGTCTTCGAATCGGCCAATATGAGGATGGCCGCCTCGTTCTCCAGTATATCACCCTCGCTGGAGGTCAACGTCTTGAGGATCATGTTCTCGGCATCGCGAAGGGCGCCCTTGTTGGCCGCCGCCTCGGTGGTCAGCATAATGCGCAGCTCCTGCAGATCGGGCCGCTCCTTGGCCACCACAATGCTCAGCAGCTGGTCCATCAGAGCGTTCTGGGTGAGAGCGAAATTAATCACCGTCACCTTGTTGAATGTCTCCGGCAGAAAGTGAGGATTGCGCAAATTGCACGTCATATACAGCCGGAAATTCGGCGAGACCGGAACGACATTCTCGCCGAGACTGATTTGCTTGACGCCGCCCTGCATGAAGGTCTGCCGCATTAGTATCGGATCCAGTGGCACTTCCAGCTCCTCCTGCACGTTCTCAATGATCACAGGCGAACCGTACTCCAAGGCGTCGGCAATAATCTTCATGTAGTTGCTCTGATTGAACTTGACGCAATTGAGGCGATTCTTGCGTTCCATGTTCTTCAGCCAATTATTGGCCTGACCCTGGGGATCGATAAACAGACTGTAACGACTCGAATTGGCCGAAATGATGGCATTCTCGCTGGAGAACTCATCGTTGGGCAGCCCGTCCAGCTGCCAGTTCTGTATGGTCACCTCCAGGCCCAGCACAGCCGTGATCGAGTACTTCTTCGAGCAGGGTATCTGCAGGGCGTTGCATTTCTTGAACCAATCCTGCACGCAAGTCGCCCGATATTGCAGATTCACGGCGGACAGGTAGGCAATAATGCCGCACGAGATGAGCACATCGCCGGGCAAATGATCGTACAGATCCTGCAGATCATCGGCTGCCTGATTCCAGCGCGACTTCTCGCCACCGAGGCCACCGATCAGCGCCTCAGCGCGTATCAGCTTGTTGCGGCAATTCTCGGCATGCTGTTCGGTCTTCTTCATCTCCTCGTTCGCCTTGTCCAGCTCGATGTTGAGCAGCGCCACCTTCTCCTCCAGCGCCGCTGCCATCGCACGCTTCTCGGCCAGAAAGGCCATCGTGTCGGCGTACTCCTTCTCGGCGGCGGCGAGCTTGGCCTTCTTGGGCGCGACCACCTTGGCGACATCGTCGTACATGTCCATGGCGATGACCCACTGGCAGAGACCCTTGGCAGCGCTGGAGGCCTTGGCCACCACCTTCGGATCGAAGTCCTTGTTGGGTATGAACTCCTTGCGTATGCGCTTCATCACCTCAACCGGAATGTTGTCCTTGTCGAACTCTTTGAGTGCGGGCAGAAAATTCATATCGCCCAGGATGCGCTTGCTGGGCCCCCAAAAATCGTTGACCATCTTGCCGGTGGACGGATCGGGTATGCGCTCCGGCGGCAAACCCTTCATTACACAAACTGCCGCCATGACCAGTTTGATGACCGGCGGCGGATTCTTCATGGACTTGACCAATGTGATGTCCGCCGGTTTTAGGGTGTTCAGAGCGGCCAGTGCATCCTCCAGCACGGGTATGGCCTTGGCCAAATCCTTTTCGCATTCACCCTTGAGCACCTGGGCCGCCTCGGCCTGCACGGAGGCCACCTCCTCATCCTGCTTGACCTGCTCGGCAGCCGCGCTGGCCGCCAGCGTCTCCTTGTTTATCTCCAGCATCATTTTGCGCGAAGCCTCCGCCAGGGCCACCAACTTCGGCTGCAGTGCACCCAGATCGCGCTGCATTATGGAAATGGCTGCTGCGGCATTCGCCAACGTATCCAAGCCGCCAATGTAGCGCATTTTGGCCTGCATAGTCTCCTCCTGCTTGCGCGCGATAAGCGTCTGAAAGGATCGGATTAGCTCAATGAAGGAGGCGTTCGTCTGGTAGATGTGGCGATTGGACATCTGGCAGAAGGCGCGTGTGGCACGCGCTGCCGTCGTATGAAAGTACTGGCACGTGTCCATGATGGCCATTTTGATCTGTTCGGAGGGCACGTTGACATCGACCAGCGACATTTTGGCTATCATCTGAAGCGCCTCCTCCGGCCAGCTGTCATACCAATCGATGGTGCAGCAATTCACCAGCGAGGGATACAAACGCACCCGGGTACGGAGCGCGTCGCCAATGGGCGAGAAGCTGAGCACGATGTGCAGCTTCTGTTTGCAGCGATTGACAAAGAACGAGAAGACCTGCAGCGGCGACACATCGATATTGCGATTGCCTCCTTGGGCGGCGAGGCGCACCATCTCGAGCACCTCCTGCTTCTCGTCGATGGGAAAAATGTTGGGCACCTCGCCCTGATTGAG